TTCCTGCACTTCAAAATAGCAGTTGACTTTAGTTCGACGAGCTTTAGTTCAAGCGCCCCTGCTGCCATTTTGAAGCTTGGAGATCCTAATACATGAGACACGGAGGCTGCCGGGAGCGCAGTAATTGCCACGCTTTGGGAGACTCAGTTAATTGTGTCTGCTCTGATGCACTGTAAATCAGAGCAGCCCCGGAGCCCTGCAGATGTAACGACGTCTACAGGCGGCACCCTTAGTTTTACACCCTTAGGCACCCGATGTCTACAGGCACCCTACATGCTCCGATGCCCTGTTAGCCTGAAAAAAAAGAATATACTTCTAGTTTGAAGAAAATGGGTCAAACTGTTTTAGGGGGAAAATTACATTGGCTAGAAATTTAGAATGTTGTATGTTTATTTGTCTGTGTCCAATTGAAAAAGTGGCTTATTATGACTTCTTCAAATTTAGTAATCAAATACCATAATATTTTATTTATATAAGAGAGGTGGTGATATATTCCTAACCCTTATCCATGTGCTTTAACACAAGTTCCTGTAACTGAATGGCTGTGCACACTGTTACTTTGGTGCCTTAATATGTTGCTCTTAACCATTTCAACTGTGTTAAACAACTCAGAATAAAGCCTTTGATCCTATAATCCTTTATGTGCATGCTTAATCTCACTAAGTTGTTCCATTTTGATCAATGATTATAAAATAAAGTATATATCTGGAACTACAGAATCAAGGTCTAATTAAGCGTGTGGCTTGTAAATTATTATTTGGAAACAAGTTTCTAATATACAGAGTGTTGTTTCAAAGCATTTCAGAGAGAAACTAAAAGGTATTGTTAGTAGAAAAATGTTTAAAAAGAAAGCCTAGAAATTCTTGCTGATCTGTATAGTTTTCTTTATGCTATTTTTCATTTGTTTGTTATGGAATAAATAAAACAATTGTGCCTTTTTATTTTTAGATTAAAGAATGACTTTGGTGCCAGGATTTCCAAGACCCAACCAAAATGCAGCCTGCTAAGAGTCAAGTTCAGCTGAAGGAACAAAGTGCAATTAATTTGAAAAAAAGAAAATCACATTAAACTTCAAGGGAACTTTTTATCAATTTTTCTCCACAGCAGAATGAGATGGCAACAGACAGGGAAATGGAAATGTTGCACTTTCTCATGGCAAAAGCTTCTGTATTTCCCCATGTGAAATTTTTTTTCACAGAGCTTTATGGAAACTTGCTTGGGAAGATGCATGAGAAGATAAGATGGTGAATCATCATGAAACAAACTTGCTACTTCCAGCCATAGAGAGTTTACATATTTTCTTTGATTTGCTTACTTGCTGCACAGTAATCCAGTGAAGTAACTTAATTGGCCTAATATATTTTTAAGGTTTGAGATGAATGCTTATTCAGGGAAAAAAGAAATATTTACTGCAGTTTCAGAGAATGGTGTTTTGTGTCATCCACAGGATTATTTGCCCCATCCCAAATTTTATTTAAAAAAAAAAATCTTCATTTGATATGTAGTGGAAGCTGTGTCATCAATGGCTAATTTGATTTTCTTTTTTTAAGTGTAAAAATAATAAAGTAGCCTGGTCTGAGCATCATGTTTTGCTTCCATTGAACCATATGATTTAATCTGAACCATGTCTAAAGTCTGTTAAATCAGTCATAATTTTGCAGGACCAATTGGTGTCGGTATAATGACAGAAGTAAACCTAGAGACTGACACATGAGGTAACGCCTTTGCTGCATAATTAATTCAGATGCTGACTTGGATGCTGTCCCTTACCTGCCTGCTGTTCACACCCACAACCTGGGATCTGTTCACACCCACAACCTGTGTTTTGTTTCCACCCAAAGCTAGCTGTCCAGCCTGAGTGCTGCTCTCATTAAGTCTGGTAATCCTTCACTTTCTAGTGGGGATACAGGATACTGATAATTCTGCAGGGCCTTTCTGCAAGTTCCCACATGTGTCAAAGGGCAAATAAATTCCTTCACAATTCACTGAGAAAAACTTGGGAATGAATAAGTGGAAAGAACCACAGATGATGATCCTAAAACTCTTAACATCATACTGGTGAGGGCAGCATCAGGGGTATATGATAGCTCAAGTATTGCATGGCACCTCACACCTAACTGAGCCTAACCTGGGTGCCGATCATCTGCATTATCCCTGCAGTAAAGATGTATTTTTAGAGGTGTAGAGCACTGAAGACTGGCTTGATACTTCTATTCAAGCGGTTGGGCAAATAATATTCCTGTAGTTTTCTACGTGTGTACCTCCCTCCATGCTCTTAACCTAGTGGGAGTGACTTTGTTTGTAGTCAAATGCATAGTTCTTTCTCCATTTTGTGTGAATTATTCCATTGACTTCAGTAGGGCTAATTATGTGTGTCAAGAATCTAGGTACATGCACACCTGTTTGTGGAACTGGGGCCAGAATGACTAGTGAGACCATATTGAAACTGGTGTTGTCACAAGTCTCAGAACTTACTAGATTGGGAAACTGTTGCCCTCAACACTAAACACTAGACTTGTGAATTATACAACACTGCAAATGTATCCATATCAGATACCTGCAGAGCAGTTGCCTGCAGTTCAGTTAACAAAATGTTATCCAACTTCTGAATAAGGCATCCAGCTTAGATGCCTTATTCAGCAAAGTAGTGTTTCAGTTTCTCATTCCCTTAAACTCTGAAGTTGCTAAGTCTGAATGTACTGCTGCATTGGAACGCTCCACAGTGCAATGTCCATGAAGGCAATCTTTAAGGAGAAAAACTCCTGATAGTGACTGTAGTTCTTGGAGATGCATTGTCCATATGCCCTTTCTGCAACCTGCACTTCCTTTTCTTTCTTAATCCTGCCCACCTGAGCTGTGACTGACACATACTGTTCATTATACACTTGGTGCAGAGCACAAGAAAGAAATAGGTGCATGTGTGTTATACAAACCCTGTTGACCAAAGTCTCTAAGCTCAGCTGCATGACACACGCGTACCTCATGGGATTCATAGAATGTGGGCTGGAAGAGACCTTGGAAGATCATTGGGTCCAGCCCTGCTGCACCAAGCAGGATGTGTGTATAGGCAATGCATCTTGAAGATCTCCAGTTTCTATATGGTAATTTATTATGCTCTTCTGCTCTACCCTGATCCCATAGGGAATCCTAAAATCCTCTGCACTGAATGAATGGAAACACAGTTTTCTCCTGGTTCCCCAAGGAAATCCATACGAATAAGGTTTTTTTCTTCTTTTTTTTAACAATAAAGTGCAAATGCATAAATAAGGTATTCTGTAAAGAAATCATATGTATTCACCTTATGCAAGTAAAGTAGTCACTCACAGCCTGAGTTATTGCTGTGATGAAGTGTGGTGTTTGCTGAGAAGTGTAGTTTATGCTCCCAGCAATGGACCAGTGTTTTAGGGCATTCCTCCAGCAGGACTTCTGCACTGTGTTGAGGTTGCTTGCTCCAAAAAGTGAACTTTTTATGGTCCCTTCCCATATCACTGGCCCATCATGTTTTAGAATCAGTGTGCAGTAGGTTCAGAGGAACTGTTGCATGACTGAATATGAATGTTTCAACACCGGGTCTCAAGCGATTGAGAAGATAACTACTGTACATTGACTTTCAATTCTGGTTGGAGATTTTTTTTATATACTTTATAGAACTTCATTGCTATAGTTTTGCTCATTGAAAGAGAAGAGATGATCGTTATTGAGGAATGCATTTGAAGTAGAGCAATGTAGGAACTGTTTGCTTATTTGCGCCCCCTTTTTTTATTCATCTAGTTTTAATTTGCTTTTTAAAAATACTGTCTTCAAGATCTGATCGATTCCACTACCCTTATTAAATCACTTCATAGATTATTCTTGATGAGCCATAGGAAAAACACCTTTCCTGCCTGTTCATCTGGCATGTGAGGTAGTTTTGATCACAGATTGGAAGGGGGAGGAGTTCAAGCTTGGAATGTAAATACCTAGAAGTGAAGCAGTATAAAGTAACGCCTGAGAAATCTCACAGTCGAAGCAGGCTGCTCACAAATGGCTGTCCCAAGGTCTCTCTTAGTTTTGGAGAACTTCATAGGTGGTAAATTTGTTCCCTGCTCCTCTTACTTAGATTCCTATGATCCGTCCACAGGAGAAGTGTATTGCAGAGTGCCAGACAGTGGCAAAGAGGAGGTGAGTACTTATTCCAGTTTTACCAGAAGATGACGGGGGGGAAAACAATGTAATTACAAATGACATCAATGAAATTGTGTGTGGGGTAGATGGTGAGACCAGGAAAATGCCAAATAAATAAGCTCTTCAGTTACTTGACCTTAGTAACATTATTACTCCAGCAGCAATTCCTCTTTACACTTTGCTGTTTAAAGCTGTGCGCTAGATCTTCAGTGTGTGTAAATCAGTATAACCTCAGTTATTTCAGTTCTAGCCCTAGTCCTGCCTGGAGGTCCTAGCCCAGTCCTGTAGAATGGGAGTTGCAAGAAATGGTCACACCATAGTTTTTAGATGCATGAATTATAGTGGAGCCAAGAAAAAGCGTCTGTTAATCTCTCTTCTGAGAACAGCCCTTGAACGACTGTATCCAAGTATAAATGTTCTCAGTATCTAATGTTAGTTTTTACCCTCTCCCTGCAATTTAAAAAAACCCCCCAAAACTTTGCGTACCTGGGTTCTTCCCTGATCAAAATCTTCCAGTTCTCCCAAAGTCTGATCTCTGCAGCTGGATGTTTGCCATATGGAACAATGACATTGCAGGCAAAAAAAAATAAAATACTGATGTAGCTTCATAAACGTGCATTTGTGTACAGTGTAGTGACCTTATCCAGTCAAGACCATAAATGCAATGCAGTTCAGCCCTAAGACTAATCTTTGGGTACATATTTCTTGCCACTGTACACGATCAATTGTGTAATGGCAAAAACCCCTTCATATGGATAGCTAAGTAGCAACGCAGTGTGTATGATTGGGAGTGCGTAGGACTCATTGAGGAGGCAGTTGATCAGGAAAAAAGGTGTACACAAAGGGCTTTGAAGATGTTAGCTAATGTTCAGCTGTTTCATTTTTAATACAACTCGTCTGTTATGAAAAGGCCGAATACTGTGTCAAAATAAACCTTTCTTTATTTTGCTGCTATTGATTTCTTTCGTTTGTTTTTTCAGCAGAAACCTTGTACTGTCATTTGGGTAAATATTTACTAGGTGTTGATAACCAAGAGTTAAAGTGTAACCAGGTTGGGTTTGGTAGAATGTTTAATTTGCTCAAAGCAGTCCAAAACTATCTGTGCTTGAAAGGTTTTATACATTAATCCCCTTTCTGCTTATTTACATAAGTAGATTCATAAAAATAGGGAGATGTGAGAGATAGGTAAAGGGGCCTAAAAAAAAAAAAGTAGACTATTGAGCCGTTAAATTCCACTCATGTTAAGTGTGAAGGTAATCCATATTGGAAGACAGTGTTACATCTCATCCAACTTTCTCAGTCAGCTGTTGCATACATCCTAGGCACGTATGAAGTTGTGTGCTCAGAGCTGTAGCTAGCAAGCAAAACAAATTGTAGGATATTGCATAGAGCTGGAGGTCAGGAGGGAAGACTCTCTCCCCAGACATGTACAGAAGCCTATGTACAAACGTTCAAAAAGCCAGCAACACACCTCAAAACTCCAAAGCAGGTTGTTTCTCATCACCCATACTTGAGATGGAAAACCAAGGCAAACAAAACCATTTAGTTCTAAAGGCTTTCATCTCCATCTGTTTTTCAATACAGACTCAAGCTCAGTTTACGATGGATAGTTTTGGTAACATTTTGGTATCAAACCTTATTTACTTGTTTTTGAGTTCAGCTTTCTCTGTTTTTTAATTTATTTCTTGTTTGGCCGAAGAAGGCAGTGAGAAGTTGTTTTAAATGAACACAGGTTTATAATTTTCTTTCCTTGTTTAACTGAAGCATCTGTTTTCCCTCTTTCTTATGTCTGCTTTCCTTCCCTCTGCTTTCCTCCACTCTATCCCTATCTCTGTTCCCATTCCTGCCTTTT